TACATCAAAAGCCCAAACAACACTTTTTTTTCGGGAAGCTCTGAGCCTTTCCTTGCTCTCCAGGACTTTCAGACCTCCCGGGCACGGCACGGGCAGATCCGCGACCCTCGGGCGGTGGAGTGGGGGTTCCGCCGCTCCGGCTGAGGGAAACCAGCAAGGAGCCGCTGCTGGCTCCCACCTTTCCCTAACCGACTGCAGGACACTGGAATTCGCTTTGTTCGTGGACGGCACCAGCCCTCAGGATCCCCGTCCAAGCCGCAGCCGGACCCTCTCCCTGCCATCCAGCCGCGATCTTGAGGAACGGGCAGAGGGTGAAACCGTGCTCCGCGTCCCTCTCCTCCAGCACCTTTTCCATCCTGAGGAAAGCCCCGGGCCTGCCCCTCTTCCCTGGGGCTACGAGCGGCCTCTCCCCGCCTTCCCCGCTGCCCTGTGACAGAAATCCCCGCCGGGACTCACCCGAACACTCACCCGGGTTGAAGAGCACCGTCCCCTTGAGGTAAGCGTACTCTTTGGTGCTGATGTCCAGGCTCCAGCACTTGGCCAGGAAGCCCTTGATGGCCTGGATGTGTCCGGCCGAGGGCAGGGATGGAGCGAGGTGTGGCCGGCCCGGCGGCGGTGGCGGTGGCCGCGGCGGGGGCTGCTCGCCCTGCCGGCGGGCGGTGAGGATGCGYTGCAGCATGCTGGGCTCCGCGCTCTCCACCGTCTCCAGGTGCACCCTCTCCTGCGCCAGCCCCAGCAGCAGCAGCGGCGCCCAGCAGCTCCGGACCAGCAGCAGCTGCTCCTCCAGCGGCAGCTCCTGGAAGCAGGGCACGTTCTGGACGAAGCGCAGCGTYTTCACCAGCACGGCCGAGGCCGCTTTGCAAGCCACCTGCGGGCTCCGCAGGGCCACCCTCCGCCGCGACCCGCAGGGACAGCCCCGGGGAGCGGGTCCGGCGGGCGGCACCGCCCGCTCCTCGCTGCGGAGGATGCTGTAGAGGATGCTGCTGTGCCGCCGGCTCTCCGCGCAGCAGCGGCAGCAGCGCTCCACGCACGCCATGGCCCCGCGGCTCCGGGGACGGGGCTGAGCCGCCGGGGAGGCTCGGCGGGGCGGTCCCTGCCTCCCGGTCCCGCCGGCAGAAGCGCTCTGCTCGCCCTCTGCCCGGCTCTTTGAYTTATTTATAGCGGSYGGRGGCGTGTGCGTGTGTCTGTGTGTGTGCGAGCAGCCGCAGGCGCTGTGCCGGCGGTTCAAAGGGGCAGACACTCTTTACTGGCTGGAACAGAGGCGGGGGGAGAGGCGGGGGGATGAAAAAATAAAAAAGAAAACCCTCCTCCCCGTTATTGAGACAGCGATACCGGAGGAGCCGGCGAGTCGGCCGCCTCTGCCCATGGATTGAGCCGGGATGCACGGCCAATCGCATCCTCCTCGCCGCGGGATGCGCCTTCCCGGCTCCTCTTTCCCAGCCCCGACCCGGCTGATGTTTTGCCGGGATGCTTCGAGCAGGGTAAAGCAGCTCCCGCTGCTCTCTCGTTTTGCCACCGTGGGGAGCAGCTCCCGCCACCCCCGCGGGACCCCAGCGASAAATGACAACCGGCCCCTCACAAGTACCTGAGAGATCTGGGAGAGGAGAGAGAAAAGAGTATTGGTGAAGAAAGGAGAGCTGATTTGGTTCAAATAGTTAAATTCCCGCAGGAGGGGAAAAAAGTGACAACACTAATGACATCAAGGACTTTTGTGTTTTATCTGCCCTAAGGAGTGATGCTCTGTTTGCCAAATGATCTCCTCAGTGCTGTCGTGTGGGGAGGGAGAATTGGATATGTCCCTGCTCAAATAGGTGCTCTGTGAGGGGTAAGAAAAGGCTCTGTCAGGGTGCCCTGGGGCTGGTGCTGCTGCAGCACCCACAGGGGCCCCCCATGGAACCATTTGCATTAATAATTCCCTTGCTCTGCCTTGCCGCACATGACCCCTTTTTCTGATGTCATGTTGTTCCACCCATGCATTTAAAACATTTCCATTTTCACTTCAGGCTCTGTTTCTCCACAAATCTCTCCTCTTAGCTATATAGTTTTCTGTGACCCATCTCCTCCACAAGGAAATATTCCTTCCAGGCCTTGGTGTTTACACAGCAGGGACAGGGGAATAGTGATTGTCCAAATGTGGACTCTCAAATGAGAAATAAGCACCTTCTCAGATGGGCTAAGTAAAAGTAGCAGCAGCAGAGAAGAGTAAATAAACACTCAGAAAGTAAAGAGTTAGTTCTGTCTCCTGCATATGGGCTAAAACAGAAACATTTTCTTTGGAAGAATATTGACAGATTTGGAGAGAGTAGCCAGTTTTAGGCAARATTCTGTATCTGCTCCACCAGTATCTGCTGGTAAGAGAAGACTAAATTGCCCTTGGAAAAATTCTTCCCCTGAAGGCATTCACACTTTTTTTAAGCAAATGTCATTGAGTGCTTTAGATTTTGTAAAAATAAAATAATTTTGGGCTGGATCTTGTCAATTTTTTTTTCCATGTGAAGTCAGTCTCACCCTATCAGTTTACATAAGTATAGAGTCATAGTCATTTCCCTCAAAGCATTTCTTCCCAGAAATTGGACTCAGATGGGGTATTCATTATAAATGTTTTTTTTTTTACAAATGGCTTGTGCTTTTTGCAAGGCACTTTTTTATAAAGTTATATAAAATACTGATGGGCTACCTGCCTCAAGAAAACCTTGCTTTCTAAATGCAAGCTGTCCAAAATCTAGATTATCACACTTCTGGTTTTACTTATGGAATGCATTTTCTTTTCCACAGACACAAATATGATAAAGCCCTTCATTGGCTTTGCAGTAGCAGAGAACTCTTACAGTGCACCAATTAAGTGGCGTCTACAGTTTGCTGACAGGTCAGTTGTTTCACCAAACATCCCTTAAGAATAAAAAAAAACAAAAACAAAAACAACAACAACAACAACAACAACAAAC